TTCAACGATACTTCCCGCGCTAACATATGCGTCAGAAACTTGGTCGCAGCGTAAGCGGAATAAAAAGTCATTCAGCGTTATTGGACCCGCAGTCGAAAGAGCGTTGGTAGGAGCATCATGTGTCATGCAAGTAAGGAAAGGCATCCGTAGCTCCGACCTGCATCAACGATCAAAACTTAACGATACCGTTCTGTACCCTAAACAGTCGAAGATAAAATGGGCCGGACGCGTAATGCATATGAACGACAACCGATGCACAAGAGTCGTTAGTGACTAGGTTCCTCGCGATGTTAAACGCACTCACGAAGACCACCGACCCGATGGTCAGAGTTTTTTCACGAAAAGCCCCGAAGGGAGATATGATGCTGAACGAGTTCCTAGAACGAGCAGAACCCACTGGGCTACTCTTGCGCGCGACAGGGAAAAATGAAGATTTACTGGCGAGTCACTCGACGATTAAGGGGACTACAGGTGAAATAGGTGGTATTGCCCTCTCATTCCCCGTAATAGTTTAGCATCCCATTTCCGGGTGCTGTTTGCATCTCATTTTAAAAAGGTGTTCCACATTTCTGCAAGGTGTTTAACTAAATAGTACTTTTCATTACGTTGAAAATGTGGAGATTTATTAACTTTATATGGTAGTTTTTCATTCTTGAGTAGTAATAAATTGTTTATGCATTTTGTAGAAAAGGACATTTGAAAATAATGACAGATTTTTTTGAAATAAATCATTGGATTCACCATGGAATTTTTGTCGTCCCTTATCAGTTTCAATTCTTTACACTTTAATGAACTTTCCCAAATTTCATGCTATTATAGGTGATCCGCGATGTTACGTCAATTAGTTTTTCACTGAAAACTATAAGTATTGTAAAATGCCACCACATGGATGCTGAGATAGTGTAAGACAGGTGCACTTCGAACCTGCGATTATCCTTTCCAGGCCTCACATGCTCTCCACTACCTCGACCCTTGCTTTGCTTTTCTCTTTTTCAGTTTTTTACCTTAATGATGCTATGAATAATGATCTGTCAAGGAGGCGGTTGTATTCCACATATTCCCTCTCATGGAGAAATAGACGGGAAGTGAAAGTTAGAATATTGTGATTTCGGCTGAAGCTTCTGCTTAACCAAGTCCAATGTCGATTTATGCTCACCAGATCATTCCCATCGACGAATGATTACTGATAGCTCCATTAGAGTAAGAAACTGGCTGAGAGAAAGGTAAAGCAAGGGACCCGGTTGTGCAGTGGATAACATACGAGCCCCGAAAAGATTAAGCGTGGGTTCACAGCTCAATTGAAAACCCGAGTTTTGACCATATCTCAGCACCTTTGTGGTTGTACCCTGTTATAAAAGAAAATTAGACAGTAAATAAACAATTGTAAGTAATGTCTTATGAAGTTGAGAGACACACAGATGTGTTCGATTTATGTGGGGCTGTGTTCTACCAAGCAGGCCTTGTAAAGTTGCCGTTGCGGTCAACCTCAAACTCCGGTTATCAACACTGTCGAGCCATATTGACACTGCAGTGACTGTATCGGAACGATTCACTGTTTTCTTTATGGAAAACCAGAGATTATTATTATAGCATTTATTCATTCACAGTAGATGACGTTTCGACGGCCTTGCCTTCTTCGTAACCTGAAAGGGTCCAATTGATACGTAGTCTACTTGGCCAAACATTTTAAAACCTCAGTAGATAAAACTTGACGTATACATTTCCATCCGCACAGTAAACAGCTTTCTTTAAACACCATTTTGTTCTTTGCAAGTCCTCCAGTTATTTTGTGGGGACCAGCCGCACAGAATTCTACATGGGCGAGGGCTCAGGTCAAACAATCAACCTGAGGATAGCGCTAAGTCACGCATGATCACAAGACACTTCTCCTTGAGGTTCATATTTGGATTTTTGGAATTTATCCGAAACGCTTCAAGAACTGTACGCGCCCATTTTTTTTTTCGATACCTGTACGAGGATAGTGACTTTTACTTTAAAAATCTTCTCCGTTATGTCTTTGTATCGTATGGATGCCTAACGTAGTATTTGACTTAACTTTAAGTTTATCACTAGGTGTTCTTTTATACGGACGCACAGTGGTCTACCTGTTTCGAAAATATAGCAGTATCCGTGAAAAACAAGTGGTGTATCATGACGAAAAGGAGGGAATAACGCAGTGGTTAGTGATCCTGTACACGAAGAGTCAAGGTTCTGGTGCGACCCCTCCAAGCGCTTCCCTATACGTGGGAACGCATTAGCTCGTCTATACCCAAAATTGCAAGAAGAATCGAATCAACCAGCATTAAACGACATCGATAAAGGAGATGCCAATCATCAAGCAGCAGCTGAGCAAACAAACGTGAAAAGTTCGAAGACCTTTGTGGGCGATGAGCACGAAGAAAGCGAATCAAGTGCAGGAAGTGCTGGGATCCGTAAATTTGGTGTGATGACGCGTCATGTGAAATAAAGGAGGTATATGGTTGTGTCGGTGGAGGTGAGGCTTATGAACAATTCGGTGGATCAACAAAGAGGGCTAAGCAACTATAAGTGCCATTTGTGTTTCACCTTGACTGAGAAATTTCGCAACAAAAAGACCCATGTGACTTGAAGAACAGGAAAGACTTCTTTAGCATTTCATAGCGAAGACTGAGGAGAGGGCAGTTACAACTGCGGTGGAATAACAGCTGTGTAATAATTCTCAAATAGAGTAAGATACACGGAAATTGTCGGTATGTCTACGACAAACGGCTCGACAGTGACAAGGTATAAAAACTGAAAGATGCACAGAAACGTCGATTAGTTCAAGGTTGTTTTGGTTTGTTTTAAATAGTTGCAGTGCTGTCAACTTCACTTGATCGTGTGTTAGTGCGGACTCCATTATCAGAAAAAGATGAAGACTTTGTGTTGGCTCTTGTTACAAAATATCACTACTTCAAATTTGCTGCAATACGTCGCAACAGTGTTAGTTCTAGATTCAACCAAAGCAACAAACATTCTTAACGTTAACAGAAAAATATGTTCTTAATATTGCTTGAAATGTTTCGACTACAGTCATCGAAAACGCGCGTCCTATGAATTATGCGTAATAAAATCTAAATTGTTTTTGAATTGCGTGCAAATAGTCCACTTTGTAAAAGTTATTGTTACGATTGTAACCAGTATGCAAAAAGAGATATTTGCAACAAAGATGGTAATCTGAATTGAGTTGAATGCAACGCTTGCAACATCAGCGAAAGGTGGAAATAAGAACTGAAATTGTCAAGTGTTTACCGTTTAATACCATAGTCATTAATGAATGCGACTTTTTTCCGAGCTAATCCATTGTATATAACTGCTAACACTTCTCTACAAGTCTCAGTGATGAGCAATCTGATCATAACGATGAGACGTTCGTAAATTTCTAACCTCAATGTGCAAGTAGGGTAAGTGTGTTAGTACTCACCATATGAATTAGTCCAAACAAATAAAACTGCTTGTTCGAAAAACGTTTTTCTTAAATTATTAAGAGTAGGGAACGGATTTTCATGCATATGTGAATATCTGTGTTAAGTATGTTATCGATTGGATACAAAAGGCATACTAAGAGAAAAAAAAGCTGTGTTCGCCGAACTAAGCACAAGAAGAACATCCATTGATATCAATGCGTGCAACCCATTCTTCACATTCGATTTTTAATACATGTGGTCGACTCTGTGTTAATGTTTACCTGTTATCTGCAAGCTACTATAGGCCGGAGCTTAAATTTTGTAGGAAAGGATAAAAGTTTTAAATAAAGAAACGATGAAACGTCGGTAAAGGATTCTCGACGAGAACTCACCCAAGACCAACAATATTCTTCAAAAGTCTTTTGCTCGTCCGCGACATTTATCTTCAACATCTCACTGTCCACGTATACCAGCAAACCCATGGGCTTGAGAAGAAATAAGTGTCGTCAGTTATTTCTTTGAATTATTCGGCTTACACGAGCTTCTTATGTAAGCAGATTTCGACGTCTTCGTACTCTTCAGAGCCGATGATACGATTCGATGCTGCATAATCGTCCGTTCGTCCTTCACTTGGCAATACTCCTTTTATACTGGACGGTTGTCGAATGATTGCCGACTGATAATGATTTCCTTTCATGTCGACAATCCATCCTGTAGCAGTCTGTATTAGAATAGCTTGCACATAGTGAAGTAATACTATTACTAATTTGGTTTTCACTTCCGAGGAAGAAGACGAGAACGTCGAAGCAATCATCGGTATAAAACTCGTATGACAACCTTGTGTAAACTGAACAATTAGAAAAGAGTTTTGATGATTCACACTGGGTTTAACTGAAAAGTCGATTTAGTAACAATCACGTCAACTAGTTCCTCGAAAGCAATCACCTCCATCGATGCTTAATGAAGTTGGATGCATGGCGCATCTCCCAGGGATTGATTGATTAACGTTGAATGCTTTATCCTTATCTTTTTTCAAGTTTATAAAGGAACTTTATCCGTAAAGAAGTGTAGTTTAGGAAGCAAGTAGCAGTTTTTTGACGACACATAGCTATCTCTGAAACCCTAATCTATTTTTCTCATTAGAATGCAGATTGCCGTTCTAGTTAAAAGCTCATGTGACGAACGGTTGGTAATAGCAAAGCAACCGTGAGTAAATCTCAACCTATGGGGCGAGTGGATTGCAATTTACACAATCTAAATGGTTATTTATGTAACGTAACTGGTTGCAGTGCTGCACTAAACTCTAGTGCTTAGAAGTATATTTGATAGAAAGAAAATACATGGGGTAAAGGTCGACGGCCGAAAACATTTGTACTGTGGCTGACTCCAGTTACGTTAGAAATTGTTCGATTGCAAGTGATGCATTCTAGCTCAGATCACTTGTGTAAAATGTACACATTACTGTTAGTTATCGTGAAGACGATATCGGAACGTGAATGGAGAGGTTTAATGTATTCATTTGATGATTATAATGTATAGTTGCTAATGGCGAACGGCAATATATGAAAACCCATTATGTCCTTCTTACAGGTTATGCGCCCGTTCATTATATTTGTATTGGTTTTTGTGGTAGTCTTTGGTATGATTTCGAACTGGTATATGTTCAGAATGATGACATTACCGGCTATAACAGGGTGAGATATGCATTTGGAAGGAACAGTAATTTTGAACTAACATTTTTGGTGTGCTATTTCTTTCCGTTGAATTACGACATGACTATATTTCAAAATCGACTTTCCTTTAACCTCTGTACTACTAAACATCTATTCTTTCGTTGATAAGCTTACACGAGATTGGTAAACAATCCTTATTCGGCTGAAGTTTCGACGTCTTCATTTCCGTTGACTCAACAACTGTAGCCCATGGACTCGCATAATCGGTTCATCGGCTCTGATGCAGACTAAAACGTCGAAACATTAGCCAACTAAAAGTTGTTTACCAACCTCTTGTAAGCTTATCAGTAGAAAAATACATATAAAATGAGTTTTTACGTGAATTTCTTCAGAGGACTACTACTTCCTTGGTGTGGATTTATGTTTGGATGTTTTATGTCAATTATAACACGTCGTTCTCCAGAAGATGTGACCGCTATCGCCATAGAGACGGGAGTCCAAAATACAGGAATTGCTATTCTAGTCATTAAGGTAACAGTCCGCAATTTATTTCGTTACTTATTTGATTATGCTTAAGAAATGAACAGAGCTAATGTTCATAACTCTAGGTATGCATTTGAGTGAAGTTCTGTTATCTACCTCGATGCAGTTGTAATTTTCTGGAGCTCAAAAATTGCTCATTGATATCATTTTCTCATCACAGCTTGGATTTAAAATTAAGAAGCCTAAAAAAGCGGGGTGTGTTCCAGCAAAACGAGATCTTTGCACTCAAATACAAGACCGGTTTGCACAACTACTGCGCTTGTGTTAAGAATCCCAAAATTTACTGTGTGAAAAACTTTAGACTTGAAGTATAAACAAGTCTAAAATTGAATAAGTGTTTAGAAATCGTCCACATCCTTGGAGCAGTAGGTCAAAGCTTCCTTCATTGAGTTCTTAACTCAAGTACTTACTCAAGTTATACAAAAATCATCACGAGGTATCGGAAACCTAGTGTAGTCGTTAATGTGTTAAAGTTGACGTGGAATTGTTAATTGAATACCACATATAGTAATCTTGCATCACCGTCGAATCTCTCCAGCGAGTATGGGAGAAAATTGGCCAGGCACATTAACGGATCACGCGATTGGAAGCGGGAAGTGGATGAATAACATGTTTGCGACGCAACAACGTATTACAACTCGTATATAGCGAGGGAATGCATTTTAATGCATTTGCGAGAGACCGGATTTCCGCAAACGCTGATAACCTTCGCTTATGCGTAGTTATTTCTAATTAAAAGCGCTTGTAGAGAAGTGGTTAGAGGAACCTGCAATGCGCAATGGTTTGAATCCTCTACCCCGACCTCGACCGAGGCTCATCAAGCCTTCTATCCCTACGAGGTCGGCAAATTGGTAACAAACTTGTCTTAGTGAACAGCAACACTGACTCACCATCGGTAGGCCACCGCGAGTCAATGTATAGGTCAGATATGCATTCAATCACCTCTATCGATGTTTAATAGACTCGAAGCCATGGCGCATCCCTCAGGAATTGATCAGCGCCGATAGCTTCATTCTTTTATCCTTTTTATTTACTCCCAGTTATCATTTTGTTGGTTATGGATAGCCCAGTGGTTAGAGCTCCTTTGAAGGCGGATTCCAGCACTTCTTGCAATCGACTTGTTTCCTCGCATCCACCATCCACGAAGGCGTTCAAGCTTCTACGTGTGGGTTCGGGTGCTGCTTGAGGATTTTCCTCTCGTCATGAATCTCGTTGAATACTGGTAGAGTTGATGGCGCCCAAAGTTCTGAGATAGCCGGTGGGTTGCAGATGGAGTGTTCCCAGACAAGTCTGGTTCCAAATTCTCAAGCCCAGTAGAATGACAGACTTGACGAACCCGGTGATGGGTCGAACTAGCATCATGCTCGTGATGATCGGTATCACTGCCACAGCTCCAACCACCTCCTAAATAAGTAGGAAAGTGAATAAATTGTTGTAAGTGACATCGTTATATACACGCACATTTATGTATATGTATATGTAATATATATATATATATATATGCATAAACACAATGTTGCTGAGATATTTGCAAAACTCCGCACCGTTGATGTCTCGGTGGCGACCGAACACGCTATTACCCTTTCCGGGATCTAACGCATTCACCGCCACATCACATGGGTTTCTGTCTGCCAGCTAACATAATTGTGATTGCATTTCACACGATACCCTGCCGTAATTTTCCCCGACAGTAGAGGTGGCGATTACATCAGTCCAGGTGTTGTGTACACGATCTTTTTTAAAGAGTGCAGGGATGAAGGCATTGACGAAACGGGTAGAGCATTCTCCATCTGTATTAGTAAGCACTTCAATGAGAAACTTAAAGTCAAGCAAAACACTATACACTAGGCACGCGCGCAAAGTTCCTAAATCGTTTTGCATTAGTTCCATAAATCCAAAAACTAACCGCAAGCAGGATGCTCTTAACCACGCTTGAGCTGGTGCCATACCTCAGACTAATTTTTTGACCTTGTAAGCCTGGAACACTTCCCATCCATGTAAGATTGTGTGGCTTGTCTCCAGTAATAACTGGAGGACTTATACAAAGCGAACCGATAAGTGTTTATAAAAAAACTGCTTACCATTTAAATGGGACTCATGTATTAAGTTTTTCTGCCTCTATTATGAAAGAAAGTGTTTCACTGAGTAGATTGTATGTCAACTTGACTTTTACAGGTTCTAAGGAAGGCGAAACGGCCGGTACGCCAGTTTCCGCAAATAAATTTTAGAATAACAACGTTGTGTCTCCTCATTAACAAAACAGTGAATTATTGATGAATTCAAAGGTTAATATAAATTCAGTCACGGGATTTGCTGTGGATTATATATGTGGAATATATGTATATATATATATATATATGAGGCGCACGTATCTTAGTGCTTAGAGGTGCCCTGCAACACACCCGACGACTAGTTCGATCGCGTCTCACAGTCTCACCAACATTTCCATTCTTTCGGAGTATGCATGTTGGTACCAAATTTGACTTGGAGCGTAACAGTGCAGTTGATACATTGGTAGATCACTGCTAGGTATTGTATGGGCCAGATATGCATTTATTCATCTCTAATTATGCCTGATCACCTGTCCCATGCACTACCTGTAGTCCCGCTGGTCGTTGATTGGCTCGAATGGGCGCCAGTAAATCTTCCATTTTTCCCTGTCGCATGCAAGAGTATCCCAGTACGTTCTGCTGGCTCTAGGGAGTCATTGAGTATCATATCTTTCTCCCAGGGTTTTCATGAAGAACTCTAACCATCGAGTCGGTGGTCTTCCTACAGTGCCCCTAACATCCCTAGGAATCCAATCACTAACGGCCCTTGTCCATCGGTTGTCGTGCTTACGCATTACGTGTCCGGTCCACCTCATCTTCGACCGTTTGGCGTTCGAACGGCATCTTTGATTTCTGATCGTTGACGCAGTTGGCAACTTCGGATCCCTTCCTTTAGTTGCTTGACACGAGATGCTCTACCATCGTCCTTTCGACTGCGTGTTCAATAACGCTGAGTGATTCTTCATCCCGCTTACGCAGCGACCGGGTTTCTGACTCGTAGTTTAAACGTGGGCATGGAGTCGGGTGTTCTTTCTTCTCCTCACTACTTCCTCAATGCTCTTGAAAGCTCCCCAAGCCACTCGTTTCCATCTGCTCAACTTTGGAGTTAAGTCATTCATCATGTTGATTTCCCGACCTAGGTAGACATTACTGGAGCATTCGGAGAAATTCGTTCCGTTGGGCGTCAGTGGGGTTTAGGAAGCCAATCCGTACCTCGTGAACATCGCTTTTGCCATATTTCGTCGAGACCGATCTTTCCACAGGCTTTCTCAAAGTTGGCAAGTATTCGTTCCACTTGGTTATTGTTTGGTGTTATAGGGACATTGTCATCAGCAAAGATGGAGTAATTGCCGACGATCACTTTTCAGACCCATGTTGTCCCATTCCAATGTTCGCATGACATTCTCGAGGATAGCGTTGAATAATCGATGAAATCGATGAAAGTGTACTCTCGCGATACTTCAATTAGCCTTGTTATAGTGTGGATATGGTCCATCGTACCAAATCCCTTGCTAAACCCTGTTTGCTCGCATGGCTGCCCTTTCCGTTGAATTGAGCAAGCAGGTTGGGCGTTAGTTGCCGATATCGTGCAGCTCACCCTTCTTGAACAACAACACGGTCTTCCTGGTTTTCCACTGAGTAGGGATCTTGCATTCGGACGGTTAATGTGGTAACAGGTGGTCAAGCGTGTTTGCGAGGACTGGCGGAACGTTCTTCAGGTGTTCAGGTTTTATACTGTCCAGAGCTGTTCGATCTTTCACCGACGAAATGACCTGTCGGATTTCGGAAGAACCAGTGGTACAACGTATCCATCCTCCTTTATTTCATACGACGGACGGAGGACGTGGCTATCGAAGAGATCTAGGTAGTATTCGTGAATGATTTTCTCCACTGCATTTCTGGACGCTTTAACTGTTCCGTATGGGTGTCAAGTGCAACCACCTTGATCAAGCAATTGGTGAAGCATCGGTGGGCTTTGCAACTGCTTTCCGCAACCTCTGCAGCTTCGACCATTACTGCTGTTCTTCTCTCTCTAAGATCTTCTTTTATCGCCTCTCTGCATCGTTATGCAAGTACGGACATTATCGACAACGGTTTCTTCCTAGCTGCCGATCAATGAGTTCAATAGGTCTGTTTATAGTGGTTTTGGGACTTCGTTTTTTTTTTGATTTAGCGGCTTTTTCTCCTTTCTGCGAGAAATGGAATATTGCGCGAACGAAGTTTGATCGTGCGTAGATTTTTGGGACAACAGAGACATCGGTCAGGCAAAACCTTCGGTTTACTATGACGTGGTCTATTTCGTTATGGTACTCACCACTCAGAGGCTCCCACGTCCAGCGCTGAGGGTGGGGCTTCTGGAGTTGCGAGTTACCATGGGTTGTCTTGGTCGCCATGATAAACTCAGGTAGCCGCTCGCCTTGTTCGTTCCATTCTAATCCGTGGGTCCCAATGTGACGTTCTCCAGACGTTTCTTTTGGTCCAATCTTAGCGTTGAAATCTCCAATGATGACCTTGAAGAATGTGTGGTCTTCTCTGTAGAGCTTCTCCAAGTCCATATAGAACTCTTCGACCTCTTCGTCATAGTTTAATGTCGGGGCGTGAACGACGAAGATTGTCAAAGCCGGAATTGATTCACGTCTTTTTAATCGTAAACGTCCGATTCGGGTTGTTAGTTGTTCGAATGAATCGATGTTCATGGACAAACTTGTGTTGACGAGAACGCCTGCGCGGCCGACTCCTTTACTGTCGCATGTTCCGAGGAACAGTTCTTCTCCGGAATGGCGTCGGCGACATTGAGTGGGTGGCGTCGTCTCGCCTCGGCCAGGCCGATGACGTCGTACCTTTTCCTTCTTGTTTCCCTGAGCAAGTCTTCTATCGAGGACTCGGATGCAAGTGTACGTGCATTGTAGGTACAGATCGTCACCTTAGTTCTTCGTGATCCAGGCAGCTTCCATTGGCCTTGAGATTTTAGCAGCCTCTCCGTACTCGTCCTAAAAAACGCTGCGAAATTGGAAGCTCTTTCGGGGTCAGTGGAATGATGCGCGTTTCTTTTACTGTGTTTAACGTTTTGATACCCACATATAGTTTGCTGGGCTCTTAACGTGGGGACTGTGTATACTCACTGGTAGCTTGTCAGTCTCTTCCAGACATGGGGCTTATTTGTTAAAGCCGACTCCTCACCTCCTCCCGTATATTACCCTGTCACTTTATTGCCGGCTTTTGGCAGAATTGACTCCTAGAATACAATCCGTATAAACTTGAACGCACCCTCAGACGCATGCGTAAATACGCCTCATAAATACTGAAATTATGTGCCACATTGGCGCAGCGGAAACGGAGTTCATCCCCTGGTTCCACCTGCCTCTCATGAAACGAACGGTCGCTTTTGGTTCGCGATTAACTTTCTCGCCGCCATCTGGGGACGTGCCAAGTAGCCTCGCCACTAGCCGGCTCGTGATTTCTCATGTGAAGGACCTCCTTGGACCATGCCTGTTGAAGACAAAATATGACTGTCTCTCTGGCACTGGTTCGAAAATGAGGATGTGCGCGAGGAATATTTTGTAATTCTAAAATTACTTCCGTTTGCAAATGCACAATGGTCGACGTTAGTCATGAACAGTTCCGCCAATTGCTTGGTTGTTCGTCCAGGTGGGCACTTGTATTCTTTTGGAGTCGACTACTCTATTTTTTCCGTACGTCTTTCGTCTCTTCTTATTAGGTGATCAGCCCATCTGTGCTTCGCTATTGATGTATATGCTTGTTTATATTCTCTTATATCCCGAATATGAGATAGCTTTCTTAGATCTGAGCATTGCATTCTGACTAGACGTTCTTTGTTCTGGTGGGATTTCTTAAGACATCTTGCAATCGCACTATTGATGGTGTGCAAGGTTGTTGACGTGATCCAAATATCACCTCAATTCTCTGCTGCATAACAGCGCGTCGGGAATGCATATTCCCTTCTTATCCCAGTTAAGTTGCTTGATTTGCTACTATGCGGATGTGAACAGTTTTGCCGAGATGCTGTTTCCTTGTCGAATCCTTTTTTCTATTTAGATAGTAGTGGTTTGATGGAAAACCTGTATTTTTGCTCTGAATTTCTTATAACAGTTAGCTAGGTTTCATTTATAAGACCGGTGCATTCCTTCGTTGAAATAGGGGTTAGAGGTAAGTGACCAAAGAAGTGGACCGGTTCTACAAATGAACTCTAGTGACAAGGAGCTCACGACAAATTTGTGTGACCCTAGTGCGTGGTGTGTTCCATGCAGTAGACTTATTGTCGGAATCCTGCCTTTCCTACTGGTTGTTCCCGGCCCAAAGTCGTTGTTAGGCGTAACATGGTCCAAATCAGTCAAATAGAAGTATGTGCTTAGACTGGCTATTACATGTCATGGCCAGTCGTCTGTCTATGTAGGTATGTGCGGAAGGCGTAAGTTGAATGCGCACAGAAAAGGAATCAATTCCCTAAATCCAAGGAGGTATCAGATAAAGCATGCGCGATCGCTTTCGTTTTTTACGCTGGCTGTAACGCGAAATACAACCCGTGAAATTTTTTAAATATTGCGGAAGCACACAATCCTTTTCCGATTTTTCCTCTTTTTCATAAATGTATTAAAATTTCCATCTCTGAGATTTCTCACTTCTCTGTTGCCTTAGAGAATTTAGAAATAATCAGAGCGCGAATAGATGTTAAAATCAATCGCAGATGTGCATTATTACCAACGCAATAAATACAGTTGTGATTAGTTATGGTTTTCCCATAGTTAAGTCATTTGGTAGTATTTAATCGTGTGTGTTTACTTTAGGCATCTTTCTCACAACCAGATGCGGATATTGGGGCAGTAATTCCAGTGATAGTTGCCTGTTTTACACCTGGTCCTCTGCTACTTGGTGCTTTCATACATTTGACAATTAAAATGGTGAAAAGAAGATCGGCGAGTGTATGCCCTCTTTTTATAATTTTACAATTCCTAGTGAAAATACTGGACTAATAAATATCCCTAAACCAAAAGAAATTTTGCATTTTTAGCTAAAGCTTTTGCTATAGATAATTGTGCAATACAAACAGCATCGTAGCCAGTTGCCAAAAAATGTTTTGGTTCATATACATTTTTTACGTCCAGTTCTAGTTTGCTTGTGTCCAATTGATCAGTGTTATTTCGATTATGGTTCCATATGGATTCATGTATGCTACTCAGATCTCTTCGATAACCAGCCATAGATCTCGTCATATGAAATAGAGGATGGATACGTTGTACCATCGGTTTTCCTTTCCGAAATCCTACATGCCATTTCGTTGGTGAGGAATCGATCAGCACCAGATCCGGAGAGAATGCGATCAGAACACTTGAAGAATCTTCCGCCAGTCCTCGTAAACACACTGGCTGGGCTCTTCACACGTTACCTGTCTGAATACAAGGTCTCTACGCAGTGGAAGACCACCAAGACCATGTTACTGTTCAAGAAGGGTGACCACCACGATATCGGCAGCAATCGTCCATTCTGCTTACTCTCTGTCGTCTACAAACTTTTCACCCGAGTCATCCTAAACAGGATTGACAGAACACTGGACGAAGGGCAGCCATGCGAGCAAACAGGGTTTAGAAAAGGATTTGGTACGATGGACCGCATACACACGATAACAAGGTTCATTGAAGTATCGCGAGAGTACACTTTCATCGATTTAAAGAAAGCCTTCGATTCAATTGAGATAGAAGCAGTCATGGAGTTCCTTGTTAGTCAGGGAGTCCCTACTCAAAACATAAAGATTCTTCATAAGTTGTACAAAAATTTCACAACCAAGATATCACCATTCTACAACGATATAAACAGCGACGTAAGAAGAGCGGTTAGGCAAGGCGATCCATCTTGCCAAGGTTATTCACCGCCACCCTTGAGAACGTCATGCGAACATTGAAATGGGACAACATAGAAGTGAAAATCGATGGTCGGCAGTTACACCATCCTCGCTTTGCTGATAACACCGTCTTTATAACACCAAACATTAGCCAAGAGGAACGAATGCTTGCTGACTATGAGAGAGCTTATAGAAAGATTGGTCTTCGACTAGTACTCACGAAGACGATGTTCATGAGGAACGGATTGGTTTCGTATGCGCCATTCACGTTCAACGGAAGGAATATCTCCGAATGCTCCAGTTATGTCTATCTAGGACGGGAAGTCATCCTGTTGAACGAATTAGTTCTAGAGCTGAGCAGAAGGAAACGAGCGCTTGGGGAACTTTCTAGAGCTTCGAGGAAGTAGTGAGAACAAAGAACACCCATTGCCGTGCCCACTTTTTCGACTCAACTACACTTTCTGCGTTATCGTATGCGTCAAATCTGGTCGCTGCGTAAACGATGAAAAACCACTCCGTGTTATTGATCGCACAGTCGAAAGAACGATGCTACGAGTATCCCGTGTCATGCAAGCAAGGAAACAGATCCGAAGCTCCAACCTATATCAACGATCAAAAATTAAAGATGCCGTTCTTTGCGCGAAACAGTCGAAGATGAGGTGGACCGGACACTTAATGCGTATGAACAACAACCGATGGACAAGAGCCGTTTGTGGATTCCTCGGGATGTCAAACGCACTACAGGAAAAGCACCGACTCAGTGGTCAGAATTCTTCACGAAAAGCCTAGAAGAAAGATATGATGCTCGACGAGTCCCTAGAGCGAGCAGAACACATTGGGTAACTGTTGCAGGGAGCGACAGCGACAAGATGGAATATTTACTGGCATCCGCTTACTCGATTATCAACGGAACTACAGGTGATACAGGTGATGGTTCCATGCTTTGTTGCGTTGTTTGGGTGACACATTATTTCCGTAGATTAGTTTAAATGCTGAAATTGTTAAAGTGAGACAATGCTTATTTGAAATAATGTTTACAATTTCTGATAGTTTTAGGTGAATGAAGAAAAGCCTACAAATGGTATTGAAGCTGCCGACGAAGGACCAACAGCAGTGGCACTTCTGGATAGAAGAAATTGAAATACAGAGGTTATACGACATGGCAGAAATAGTTTTTGGAACATATCTCATGAGTCTCATTTTTTTCCTGCAACCTAGTGGTAATCACTTAAGGAAGTGGTTCACTTGCTATTGTCTGTGCGACTGTGTGCTTTATGCTACGTTATTGATTGACCCTTCAATCTCGGTTGAATACGCCAATTACGTATTTTCTCGTATTGAGTGATTCACTTCAGTTTGTATAATTGTAGAGAATTTTGGCAAAGATATGTTACTATGTTTTTGAATCTCTATTATTATAGTGTTGAGAATTTGGAATTTCTATCGGCATCTCTACAAATTGATAGAAATAGTCAACCACTTGCATATGAACCAGTTTGTTTAAATGTGAATACAATAATTTTCTGCATGACTGAGCTCGGATTAACGCGGCTCTGAGAAGTCAAAGACGCAGAAACGTTAGCCGAATAGAAGTTTTTTGTACCAACCTTGTGTCAGCTCGGTCATATGGAAAACTGTTCATTGTTCTTATCGAGGCTTACTGACGGTTGGTTTTTAGATAAATGGATAGAATATTTGTGTGATGATTGCGCACAATTACTGAATACTGAATTACTGAACTGCGACGAAATATTCTATATCGTTCGTTGTTTAAGAATCGGCAGTATGATTGTCTATGTACAGCACAAAATGGCACGGCTTCTGTATAAGGCGGGGTTGCAGGAGTTAAGTTATTGTAGCTGTTATCTCTTGTGAGATATGCAGTGATGAATACATTGGCAAAGCAAGTAGATCCGTTTGCATACGTATGAAAGTGCAGTTAGGTGAAAAACCTGGAATCCTACAATGTAGTCCACTAGGTATGCACAGGTCACAGACGAGGGATAATAGTTTTCTGATCAAAGTCCTCATTGCAGTGCAGAACTCTCGTAAGGCATTTTGGATAAAGGCCAAAGCTCTGGATATTATTTCCTGAAGGATGCGCAAGCACTCCACTTTAGCAAGCATTTTAGATATGACTGAATGCATATTTGATTTATGACATGATCCACCGATGGATCAAGTCAGCGTTTTTACCATGCTAGAGGCAATTTTCCGACTCTGGATAGATAAAAGACTTTACTGGATAGGGACGCTGCACCGAATTACCCACCGATCCAGTGTGTATCGCTGGGCACTTATAAGACTGAGCTGCATGTGCTCATGTATTCTGGATAATTTTAGAAGACCCAAGAAATAATCCGAGAGGCGAACGCCTCAATACATGAACATTACATGAATTTGGCGCTGTATGTCGGATTATTTTTCGATCAGAGTTCTGTTTGTAATAATTCCCAGAACCGACTTTGTACTAGCCTCAGCATTCACAAAAAAGATAATGTTTTCTTCTTAAGCAGAAATGAGGTTATTACTGCAAGGTGTAGCAAAAAATATGCTGAGATGTCCGGAAAACTTGGACCCCAAGCCAGATCGAACCACGATTACATTTTCCTGGGGTTCCCTAGTTACACAATACACAACTGAGGCCTTGCCACACTCTCAACTACTTTTCTACCTAATGGTGCCATCAGCAATCATCCATCGACGGGATTGGCCTGGGATGTACAAATTGGCAATGAGGCCAGTTAAGCTGAGGTTTAAGTCGAAATCACAATATTAACCTTTCATTTTTAACTTGGTAGTAGTAGGTAAATACAATACACGTATGTGACGTATATATATATATATATATTGACGTATATATATATATATATA